TATAAGATTATTGTGGAGGGGGCAAACTTATTTATCTCACAAGATGCCCGTTTGGCACTTGAGCGCTGCGGCGTTGTGCTGTTTAAGGATGCGTCCGCAAACAAGGGCGGTGTCACTTCCTCATCGCTCGAGGTCTATTCGGGGTTGGCTCTCTTGGACGAGGAACATGAAAAATACATGTGTGCCACCAGTAAAGAGAACACGCCGGAGTTCTACAAGAAATACGTGAAGGATATTATTGACCGCATTGAAGATAATGCTCGGCGGGAGTTTGAGGCCATCTGGCGTGACCACGAGTCCCACCCAGGGATGTCAAAGACACTTATTTCAGATACTCTCAGTGAGAAAAACGTTAAGGTGCGTGCCAACATTCTTGCAAGTGATGTGTTTAAGAATAAAAAGCTTGTACGGTATATTCTTTTCCATTACACCCCAAAAACACTCCTTGAAGTGGTGCCAGTGGATGAATTGATGAATCGGGTTCCCATTGCCTATCAGCATGCCATTTGTGCCATGTGGCTTGCATCCGAGTACGTGTACTCCACAGGAATTGACAGCAATGAGTTTGACTTCTTCTCATTCATGAGCGCCCACATTGAGCGCGCGTCGGCCATGGCGAAGGAACAATCACGTTGAAGGCAGCGAGAAAAATAAAAAAAAAGAAAAAAAAAGAAGAGGGGCTGAAGCCGACGGAATATATATATGTATTGAAAAATAATAAATAATAAAGAAGGAAGGAATCATGGGATTTGCTTGCGATTTGTGCGTTCGGGGTGTGGCCGCGCGTGATCTTGGCAGTCTGTAAATATGAAATTCCTGCGTTTATTATTATTTTATTGTTAGTATCATCTTTTACGTCATGCTGAGTGTTTAACTGAGTGGATGATTGACTGAATTCTCTTTCTTTCTTTCTTTCTTTCTTTCTTTCTTTCTTTCTTTCTTTATTTCTTTCTTTCTTTCTCTCTGACGGCATTGGCGTTGTCTTGAGTTAATAGATGGATTTATACCCCCCCCCCCCACACACACAGACAGACAGAAGAAAAGAAGAAAAAAAAAAAAAAAAAGATAAACGCGACAAGATTTTGTTGTTTTTTCTTTTCTTTTCTTTTTTTTTTTTTTTACGGAGGCCTGTCGGTCCGTTCCTGTATGTAATGCCACTTCTTCTTTTTTTTTTTTTTTTTTTTTTTTTTTTTTGACTGCCGCTCCTTTTTTGTTGTGGGGGAATAAATGAGTGACTGAGAAGGAAACAAATCGAATTGAGAGACGCAAAAAACGCAAACCAAAAAAAAAAAAAAAAAAAGGGGGGAGGGGGGGGGATGAGAGGAGGAGGTGTTGGATTTGTTTGTTTGACACGGTTGAGATGTGGAGGGGAAGTAATGTGAAACGATAAAAAGAGAGAAAAGTACTTTGAAAAAAGTGGGCAAAAAAGGGAGGATGTGGCAGCAGCGGCATTAAATATTGAAGAGGAACGAATAAAAATAGACAGAAGGGGAAGGAATATATTTTTATTGCAGTGAAAATAATTTAAAAAACAAAAAAAAAAAATAAAAAAAAAACGAAATTTATTTTTTTTTTTTTTATATATTTCTTTATATTTCTTTTGATACATTTTTCTTTGTTTTTGTTTGCGTGCATCTTAATGCTTTCTTTTTCTTCAATAATACAATAAAATACAATACAATGCAAAATATATATATATCCATACAGTGCAGGAGCTTGTTTTTTTCTTTTTTTCTGTTTTTTTTAGTGGGAAAATATTTATTATTGAGGGGAGGGAAGAGCGAATGGGAATATCGTACACGTTTGTGTGGGGGTGTGGGGGTGTGGGGGTGTGGGCGAAAGGGGTGCGTGTGGTTTTTTTACGGGTTGATAATTAAAATATAAATATTTTAATGAATGAATTATATTTTTTAGTTTACATTTATATTTTGTTGTATTTGTTTGCGTGTTTGTTTTGTTTTCTTTTGCTTTACTTTTTTGTTTCTTCTTCCTTTTCTCTCTCTTTCTCTCTCTCTCTCTCTCTCTCTATATATATATATATATATGCATCCCCTTTGAATAGATGTGCGTATATGCGGACGGATGTCATGACGGCTGCTCAACTCCCCTCTCCCCCTCCAACAACAACAAAAAGAGAAAAAAAAAAAAAAACAGTTATATTTATATGATTGCACGTGCAATATATACGCGTGTGCGCATGGAAGGGAATTTATCTCTTCTACCCAGCACGGGTGGGAGGAAGTGGAGGAGAGGAGCTGCTCGTGCAAGCAGGGAAAGAGGAGGAAAAAAAGAAAGGGAGTGGGAGGGGGGGGGAAGAGGTTGGCCGGATGGAGATCGCGTCACGGATGCCCGCCACATGTGCCGTCACACTTGTCCACGCGGTTAAAACCCAACGTTTTCTCTTTTCTCTTCTTTTTTTTTTTTTTTTTTTTTTTTTTTGTCATGGCAGCACTTTAATTCAATGCACCTTCCATGTGTTTGTTTGTGTGTTGTTGTTGTTTCTCTCTCTCTCTCTCTCTCTCTCTCTCTCTCCCGTACTGTCTGCACGCACTCTTCTCCCCCGCCGCTGCGACAGGGACTGATCGTAAAGGGAGAACGACGTAAGGAAGGAAAAACTTCGCCCCCCATCCCCAAAAAAAAAAGAAGGGAAAAGGACGATGGCCCTCGCTAAGAAGAAAACTACCACCAGGAAGGTTGCCAAGAAAGTGAGCCGCAAGAGCCCCGAGTACACGACGCTGCGCAAGAGCTGCAAGCCCGGCACCATCGCCATCATCCTTGCCGGTCGCTTCCGTGGCCGCCGTGTGGTGATCCTGAAGCAGCTGCCCCGCAACGGTCCGCTGGTCATCTCCGGGCCCATGAAATACAACGGCGTGCCGATCCGTCGCATCGACTCTCGCTACATCATTGCGACGTCAACGAAGGTGGACATCAAAAATGTGGACGTGAGCAGCATCACCCCCGACATCTTCAAGCGCCCGAAGCAGGAAAAGCGCGTGAAGTCGGAGGGTGAGTTTATGGGTGACAAGGCGAAGAAAGCGGCGGAGCAGAAGGCCAAAAAAACGGCGAAGGCGGCACCGAAGGGCATCGTCAGTGATGCCCGTGCGCAGCTGCAGAAGAAGGTTGATGCTGCCCTCATTGAGGCGATCAGGAAGGACCCGCTCGGGAAGGAAAAGGCCGGATACCTCCACTCCGTGTTCACCATCAAGCCGGGTGATGCGCCCCACCGCATGAGGTGGTAGACTCCCGTTTCCCCTTTACGTGATGTGTCTTGAAGCATACTTTTTGTTTTTCTTTCTTTGGTCTTACTTCGACTTTTCTTTTTTGTTTGTTTGTTTGTTCTTTACCCGCGTGCTTGTGCGCATCCGCTCTCTCTCCGTCCGTGTCGTCGCTTCATTTCGTTGGTTGTGAGTGGGGCGTTTGCGCGCCTTTTTTCCTGGTGGACGCACACGCAGACACACTGGAGCGCGGAGTTATCTTTTGCGGCCGTGGGACATTGCCAATGCTGCTGGTGGGTTAGGGGGGCGCTCAGCAAGAGCGGGACGAGACGGTGTGAGGCGACATGAACCCCCCCCCCCCCACACGCACAAACACACAAATAAATAAAACGAGGAGTTGAGTAATTTGCCCTTTTTTTTACATATTTTTTTTATTTTATTATTTATTTATTTTATCCGCCACGGCAAGTGAGAGAAAGAGAGAGGCACTAGGTGGCTCATGTCTCTTGTCGAGTTATGTGGTCTTGAAGGAAAAACAATATATTTGTTCATTTGACCGGCCTCCGCCTCTCGGTTGTTTTGGTTGCTTTTTTTTTTTTTTTTTTTCCTGTTTTTTACACTGCCGCCGTCACGTTTTGGGCGCTTTAGGAATAAATTCATTTAGAAAAAAAAAAGCAAAGAATTGATATCAACCACAGCCAGCAGCCCAGAGAAGTACAAGGAGGGTGAGAGGAGTCGAATAATCGTGCAATAAATATATAAATAAGTATTCATATAATAGCCTGGTAGCTGTTGTAGGAAAAAAAAGGAAAAAACAAGAGAGAGAGAGAGAGAGAATCCCTTTGAGAAATATATATATATATATATATGCCTTCGGCCCCGCTTACAGGAGAGGTTGCAAGGTACAGCAGCCCTCTCTTCATGTATCGTCGTATAATAAAGAATGCTGCACCAAAGCCTGAGACTGTATTTACCGCCAAAGACAACAGCAAGACGGCTTTTCACGTCCTGACACAGCGTCCAGGCTTTGGAAACAACCCATACGCGGTGAGCCGTTGGTACCTCAAGGAGAAGGTGCACAGTAGTAATAGAAATCGTCTGGAGGGTCTTTATGAATGCGTGCTTTGCGCCTCATGCACCGGCAGCTGTCCACAGTACTGGTGGAACCGTGAACAATTTCTTGGTCCCGCCGTTTTGCTGCAATCGTATCGCTGGTTGATTGAGCCTCTTGACCGTGACTACGATAGCCGCGTCAAGATGTTTGAGCATGGCCCATTGGTAAACTTTTGCCATAATATTTATAATTGCAGTATCACTTGCCCGAAGTTTCTTAATCCGGCGTATGCCTCAAAGGAAATTAAGCGTATGAGCTCACCCGTGACACCGCGTGTGCCACCTCCTTTGGACGCAAAGATAATAAAGGAATAGATGGGACAGTGTACATGGCTAATGCAAAGTAGAAGGAGATTGGCGTTAGGGAGGTGGATGGGCAAGAATAATATGCACGCATGCATATATTTTCAGAGACTTGTGGTTTGATCTTTACTTTTTTTTTTTTCTTCTTCTGGTGATTTGTGCGTTCAACGAAAAAGAAAAAGAAGGAAAGAAAGAAAGAAGGGCTTGCTCTTTTCATTTGATTTTTTTTCCCCCAATTTATTTGGTTCTCTGCCTCTCCCTCCTTCATTGCTTTGGGTTGTCATGTAGAGTAGCTCGAGGAGTGGATTGGGAGGCGATTACCTTCTCTCTTTTTTTCTTTACCTGTCTGTGTGTCGTAGTGGAAGAGCAAAGAAGAAGATATTGTGTGGGCAGCGGTGGTTTGCACGCACCTGTTGCGTCCATTTTAATGCATGAGTGACGGCGTGTTTATAGCGCGGCAGCTGAGTACATGTTTTTTTGTGTGTGTTTGTTTTTTTTGTTTTTTTTTGTTTTTCCAGTGTGCCGTGAAGAGTTCACGTCATTGTTTGGCGGAGACCGAGGGCAGCAGGGTGTGTAGGGGACGGTTGACGCAATCGTATGTTTCTTAGCTTTTCCGTGACAGGGGCCTCGGTGCGGCCGTTTATGCACCTACTGCAGACCGTCGCTAAGCAAGGGGAAGGGCTTTTCTTTGAGCCGCATCGTGACTCTCTGCAATTACGTGTGGTGAACAGCACTCGTAGTACGCATATGCTTGTGGGTATTGCCGCCCGTTATCTTGAGGGCTACCGCAGCATACATGGAAACTCCGCGACGAATTCATGTGAAAAAAGTGGTGGCGCAACATCCGAGACAAATCTGCCGAGGCACGAGGACGACCGCGACGAGTTTTTCCTGATGCTTCCAACAAAGGCTCTTATCGCGACCGTATTACGACAGTCTCAGGGGTTGTGTTCTGTGCACGTTCGCTACAACGCCACCTCGGCATCTGACATGGTCTCTTGCGACACACTCCAGTGGGAATGCGTGATGTCCGGCGGCATCATTAAAAAGTTTTCGCTGCCGTTGGCGGAAGGACGACCGGAACGCGCCTTTTTTTCACCCGATCGGTTTAGTTTTGATGCATGCGCGGCGGCCTGGGTGTGGGGGGCGCTGCTTGGCTGGTTCCCCGCATCGAGGCCGCGTGTTGTTGTGCAGCCGCTCGAGTCGCGTCTGGAGTTGTGGGTTGTGGACAGCGACGAGCCGAACGTCATGCAAGGCACCCACCCGCCGTTGGAGAGCGGCAAAGGCGGTGGGACGGAGACGAAGGTCGTGGCGTCGCAGGAGCACTTCCTCTTCATGCGGCAACATGAGCCACGCGGCGAGGGCACAGCGGTGTCGAATGAAACGAGTGAAGTGGGGGATGCACCTACCGCCCCAAGATCGAGGGGATTGTCGCTTCCCGGGAAAATCGTCGAGGTGAAACCATTCAAGCAAGTCTGCCTGCTGGCGGATCAGCTCGGCATGATGATTCGAGTGCGCACCGGCGTGGAGGGTCTGCCTCTCTTTGTGGAGGCCATCACCGTGCAGGACGCGCAACAGGCAGCTGCAGCAGTGGCCGCCACGACAGTTAAAGATGCGGTAGCTGCAGAAAGCAGCAACGCCGCCGTTCAGCAGAATGTTTTTGGCAGACATTCGCTGCCGTCGGAGAATTCTTTTCGAGTGACTTTCTCCATGTACATCGCCGCCTTTGACGTGCCGCAGCGTGCGTTGGACAGTGGCGAAGGATTTACGGCCTCGAGCCGTCGTTCTACCAACTCCGCCACAACCGTCACTGGTGAGGAACGCGGTGTCGTCACAGCGAGTAGTCTGCAGGAGGTTAACGCTCCGTTGGTCTCTGCGTCTGCTGCACCGCCTTCATCGGACGGTGTGCCTCTCTCTGGAATAGCGCAGCAGACTCCTTTTAAAATTGCAGAAAACATGGCAACTGGGCAGGCCATCCGTCCGACAGGTGTCACCAATGAGAAGAATCCCGTTGCGAATAGCGTTTGCTCACCGCAGCGTGTCCTGGTGCCCGCTTCTCCCACTCAAGTTCCTTCCTGCGCTTTGGATGGGCCTTCATTGGTAGGCGCGACTCCATTGCGTAGCGGTGGACGCATCTCCTCCTCCTCAAATGGGGAAGAAATGGTGGTGAGGGCGACACCGGAGGTTGGTGGGATCGTCACACCGCACCGAGGCGGCAAACGCCCACGTGGCGGCGAAAGTCTGGACGGCAGATTCCCCCAAGAGTCGGTTGTAGGTTGCACTGCCGGCACCACAGACACCACCGCCATGTCATTTGCACCAACCGCCTCATTTGTGGCGCCTACAAACTTGTCGCCAAACGACCGCAGGCAGGCTGGAGAACAACAAGGGCGAGAAGAGCCGATGCCGTCAGTTTCCGCACGACCTTCGCTGGAAACCCGCTTTCCATTGGACTTTAATGCCTTCATGCAGGAGATTGCGGAGGAAGCGAAGGAAGACCCTGAGGAAAGCGAGGAGGATGAGGACTTGCAGCGATTTCTTGAAAGCTGCGTGTCATTGCTGGTGCTGCCAGTAACCCCAGCCACGCAGCCAAAGTAGCTATTTTCTTTATTTTATTTTTATTATTATTATTATTTTTTTGTTGTTGTTGTTGCAGTTCTTTCTCCATCCATCCGCCTGCCTACTGACTTGCATGCATGCATTCCACATCTACACAGAAGGAAAAAAGGAAGAAAAAAAATAATAATAAAGAGTTGTTTCTGAGCACGCTTTTATCTTTCATCCCTTTTCTTCCTGTAAGATGTAATGTGTATGGACCAATGGCACTTTCCATTCTTGTTGTTGTTGTTTTTTTCCACCCCCTTTTTTTTTTTCTTTTAAGCCAATAGTCTCTTTCAGAGACTGAGGGTGAGGAATCAAAGAGAAACGAAGGAAGGAAAAGCAGAGGCAAACAAGAGAAGGTAGGGGGAGAAAAAAAAGAAAAGAAAAGGAAATGCGCCAGGAAGAAGAAAGCAAACAGAAGACCCTAGACGCCACGGTGCGTGATGACAATCCGTATAGCCGGCTCATGGCACTGCAGCGAATGGGTGTTGTAGACAACTATGAGGCCATCCGCCAAAAGTCTGTGGCGATTATAGGCGCCGGTGGGGTCGGAAGTGTTGTGGCAGAGATGTTGACACGTTGTGGTATTTCAAAGATTCTAATATTTGACTACGACAAGGTGGAGCTTGCGAACATGAATCGTCTTTTTTACCGACCTGAGCAGAAGGGCATGACGAAGGTGCTTGCGGCAAAACAGACTTTGGAGGATATCAACCCCGACACGGAGATTGTGCCATACGCCTTCAGTATTACTTCCACGGAACATTGGCAGGATTTTGTGGATGCCCTGACGAAGAATGGTGGAGTACAGCCGAATTCACCTGTGGATCTGTTACTCTGTTGTGTAGACAACTTTCAGGCCCGCCTTACTGTGAATTACGCCTGTTTACTTCATAACATTCCATGGATGGAAAGTGGCGTTGCAGAGAATGCCGTCAGTGGTCATATCCAGCTGCTTCTTCCAGGCGTGACGCCTTGCTACGAGTGCTGCCCCCCGCTGGTGGTGGCGACAGGAATGCCGGAGGCAAAACGTGAGGGTGTCTGTGCGGCGTCTCTTCCCACCACCATGGGCATCGTGGCGGGATTTATGGCGCAGAATACACTGAAATATCTACTGAATTTTGGAACTGTGAGCGAGTACGTTGGATATGACGCAATGCGAGATCATTTCCCCTCTATCACGATTAAAGCAAACCCGGAGTGCCGCAATGAGACATGTGTGCAGCGACAACAAGAGTACGCTGCGCGACGGGCCGCGATGGGCGATGCGGCCCACCCACTACATCAGGCGAATAAACAACGTGAGGAACGGGAGGCAAAGGAACGAGCTGCAGCGAGGGCGAAGGCGACAGCGTCGGCAGCCGAATGGGGTATTGTAATTGAGGCGCGCGGCAAGGAGGACTTGGCGGTGCATGCGCCACAGCCTGAGGGCGTGGAAGCCGTCAATGTGGAGTACGCGTACAGCAGCGGTGCGGGGAATGCGGCGGAGCACGCACAGGAGGAATTCGTGATGACGGACGGTGGAGAGTCACTCGAGGCATTGATGGCTAAAATGAAGGCTCTGCAACACTAATAAATGTAACACTTGGAAACGTTTCCCAGAGGTTGAATTTCAGCGCCTGCACCATTTTTTTTTCTTTTTTTTTTTCATCCCGCACGTTTTTTCCGTGCCGTGTTGGAAGAAGAGGGGCGAAGAAATCAAAAGAATGTAATGTGTAGTGTGTGTGTGTGTGTGTGTGTGTTTTTGCATTTGTGCGTCCTCAATGGAATAACGGGATTCTTGGAAATGTTTTACTGCCTCCAGATGCTGTCGTTTTACGTTTACTTCTTTCTTTCTTTATTGCATTTGTTTATTTGCCTCATATTTTTTTTTCCCCCTTTTTGTCGTTGCCGCTGCGGTGTTGGATGGAAGAGAAGGTGCTCAGGAATAGAGCGGATTTGTCCATTTCCTTGCTTTTTCTGTGTGTGTGTGTGTGTGTGTTTAGTGCACACGGTATTATATTTCCGCTGCAAGGTGAGGGGGGAGGAGTATTCGTGCAAATGGCCTCAGAGGAGCCTCTCAATGAAATCCCGGGCGAGTGCCCAACACCAGGCGACCTCGGCCATGCCGGCTGGAACATTCTCCACACGGCGGGCGCCGTGTATCCATACAAGCCTTCCCCTCTTCAACAGGAGGCATTTCGTAGCTTTCTTTACAGCTGGTCACATGTGTACGCCTGTAGCCACTGCAGCTACCACATGCGGCGCTACTTGAAGCGCAACCCGCCGGTGGTTACCGATAAATTGGCTCTGAATCGTTACCTCTGCGAGTTTCACAACACCGTCAACAAGAACCTTGCGAAACCCGTCTACAACTGTGACCCCATGGTTGTTCTCCGACGCTGGCACCCGACCTTTCCCGATATGGAGGATCAGCCGACGATCGAGGAGCAGATGCCGAGCAGCAACGACTGGAGCAGGCGGAGGCACAGAAGCAG